AGATTTCACAGGGGAGATCAGCATTTCTTAAGTTGGGGATCCTGACCCAAAATGGAGTTGCAGGGGTCACAAGATTATTTTAGGGGGATTGCAGTATTGCCACCCTTACTTCTGCACTGCCTTCAGATCTGGGCGGCTGGAAAGCGGCATCAGTTGTTAGCTGGGCGCCCAGATCTAAAACTAGTGCCCTGCCAGCAGCAGTGCAGAAGTAAGGGTGGCAATACTATACCTAGCCATCCTTCCTTCTGCACTGCTGCTGGCTGCGGCGCTGCCTTCAGAGCTGGGCTCCCAGCCAGCCACTGCCGCTCTCCAATTGCCCAGCTCTGAAGGCAGCGCCACAGCAATACGGAAGTAATGGTAACAGTACCGCAACCGCCTCCCCACAAAACCTTGTAACCCCCTCCACAACTCCTTTATGGGTCAGGACCCCTGAAATTACAACTCTGTGACATTTCAGATTTAAACAGCGGAAATCATGAAATTTACGATTTTTTAAATCCTATGACCGTAAAAATGACCAAAATGGCCCCTGAATTTGGTAGGATCCTAATTATAACACCCTTCTATTTCATATCTGGCAGAACCATCAAGGCGGTTGTGACCAGAGACCTCCCAAAATGGTCAGCACCCCAGGAGTCCGTTTTCCCCACAGGAGACTCAGCAAAGCAAAGGGGGGCAAGGCGCACGTTTTGCCCTTTTTCTGCCTTGCAAGTCCTCAGGAAGCTGTAGTGCCCCCGGGCTCGGGTAGTGTCCCGCTCCGGACGTGTTGATGTAAGTCCGGGAGAAGCAGGGCCTCCAGGCCGGTGCTTCGCAGCTGGAGAGAAGCACAAGGGAAGTGCTCAGCCCCTCTCGCACTCTGGGCCACTTTACACGGGAGCGAGCAGAGTGCTCTACAGAAAATCCGGGGCCCGGCCCTGGCCTCCGCGGGGGAAAGAGACTCGGCGGCCGCGCGGAACAGAGCCTGTCCCGCCCCAGGGAAGATGCACAGAAAACTTCGCGCCCCCCCGATCAGTCTCGGTATGGGGGAGGGGCAAAGACTGAAACAGACACGGACCGGCGGGGCGGGCGGGCAGGATCAGGAAGCCGGGGGCGACGGGTCGCAAACAGAGTAACCTCCCCCCTTTCTCTGACTCTCCCCACCTTTTTTTTCCTAGGACTCCCCCATAGCGATTCTCCGCTCGCCTATACTCAGCGCCTGCACCCACCTGGGCCTCCCGGCGGCAGTTTGTATTTTACCGGCAATTCAAGCCCAGCCGCGGGAACCGCCCCCCACCTCGTCTCCCGATTCGCATTAGCAGATTCATCGCTCGCTCTCCGTCGCCTACCTGCCATAGAGCACCCGGGTCAGCTCCACAGCGAAGCCCTGTTGCCGGGCGACTCCCACTTGCGGGCGGGACAGGGAAGATTACGTAGCCCTGGGCACTGGCCAAGTTCGGCTCATGCAGAATCTGCCGACACAAATCTGACAGCGGTTTCCGCTTCCGGGAAGTCTCGCGGCGCTGACGTCACTTCCAGCAACAACAGCAAACGTCAAAACTCAGGCGCGAGAAGGGGGCGGTGGCAGCGACGGCGGCGCAAAGGGCTCTCATCTCCTCTCCCTCCCTCCCCTTTCCCCTTCCCGTGCCCGGTGCTTCCTGAGTTCGTTCCCAGCCGGCGAGGCTCACGCACCGACTTGGTTCGTCGCGGCGGCGGTTGGGATCGGAGCTTGGAGAGGTACGAGAGACCCCCGAACTTGGTCCGTGGGGTCGGTGCGGAGTGAGTGGCACCGCGGCCAATCAGAGGTCGGCGCTAGGGTGGGGCTGTCTGAAAGGGCCAATCCGGCTCAGGGGCGGGACTTTCCTTGCCCGGTTGGGTCTGTGTGAGAGCCAGAGGCTGGCGCTGGGAGCAACGTTATCCTAAAGCTGCTCTGAGACCGCTGAGCCTCTGCTCGGCCGACTCCTGCCTGCTCCACGCCGCACCTTCAGTGCCCGCGCCTGCCCGCTCCCCCCCTGCCAGCACACACTCACGCCCCTTTCACTGCCTATGGGCGAGTAATCTATCCACCGCCTTTTCTTCCTTAGGGCGCTGCGGAGGGATGATGGTTTTTATTCCTTTGTTGCCCGTGGGCGGGAGCTGGGGGGAGATAGGTGACGGTACAACAGGCTGATGATGATTCCGAGTTGCTCGGAGCAGCGTGTGTGTGAGTAAGGTGTAACCTAGAGTGAGGGCTACCTGCGAGGGAAAGGGGATGCTGTTGGCACTTTAAATTTCCTAAGGAGATAGTGACAGCTCTGACAATCATGGACATGAGGAACCGGAATAATCTTTTAACTAAAATAGTCATTTAAAAAACTTTTCTAAAACTCTTATTAAATGCACCTCTGGCTTCCAAACATCCATGTTTAGTAGTAATATTAATGATGCTTCATGGCCTGTGTACCGGACTGGAAAGGAAGGTGCACAGTGCACTAGCCCTTGTGCTCACCAAGTGGTGAGATTTTCAAATTTGCGCTAAGGAACTGGCATTTATCTTGAACCAAAACAGTCACTGCTGTGGGCACAGGCCATTAGCACTGAAGGATATGTCACTGCAGTTTCACACAGTTCAGACGACCTGGTATTTCTATCAACAAGACCATGATTTGACTTTTAGTATTCTGCAGCACACACCAGCAATGTAATACTTACCATAACGTAGCACATTGAAGCCATGTCCAGGATTGGGGCCTGCTTGTGATAGGCTCTGTACAGAAAAAGGTAGATAGGATAGCGGATGTATAAATAAATGTTAGTGGCTTTCCTCTACTCACAAGGGTAGGCCAATCCATTGGAGTCTCACTAGGTAGGGAGGACTGTACAATTTTGAAGTCTTGGAAATACACCCAAATGATTTATTTTGGTATAAACATTGAAGATGGAAACTTTCAAATAGACAATTAAACTGGCTACTAACTAGTTTATACAATACAAATTACATTGACTCTTATTTACTCCTTCCCTCAGATGATTTTATGCCCAGAAATGGGTTTACCCATCATGTTGTAATAGTGAGTTTCTAAAGTGTTCATCTTGATTACTGCAAAACTGAAAATAATTGCTTGATGGGGAAAAATAAGACATCAGATCTAACAAACGGCAGATAAGCTCTTAGTTACAAATGTATTACATCTTATGGCTTTGATGATCAGTGCTTAGCTAGTTAAAATGTGTCTCAATCTGTTGCATCTGTGAAATCTGCTCATTTGGTATTTAACTTAAAATATCTATTGTCCTTTCACTATTCATTCCTAAAATGAGTAAGATTTTAATGAAGGATTTTGATTTTTAAACAGCTTTCACCTTTTGATATCTTTCCATAAAAGTATGGGTGTATTTCACAAAGAACCTGTTTTTTCAATATTCTGTCATACTACTTGCATTTGTATCCCTGGATATCAGCCATACTTACTCTCTAATGTGAAATTGATTAGAAGTGATCGTGGTCTGACTTCTGAGATGAAAAGATTACCAGGAGCACTGAGAAAATGTTTATTTTCTTTCATTATAAATGAATGTTGACTGGCTTTTGTTTATAAAAACCCGGTGTAGCTGCTTTTTCCATGTTTTATTTACAGCTAAAGGAAAGGTTTAATCACCTGCAACCATTATGAACACAAGTACTACCTATAGACAGATAATCCATTTTGCAGAGGATCAGAAGCTAGTATAAGAAAAACTTGGGTGTTTGCCTGGTAGTGTAAAGTCCACTTGATAATTCAGCAGGCGTGATCATTCCATGCCCTATTTCTGATAATGCTCTTTATTTCTCACCTGTAAACCTCTTTGGAATACTCTGACCCGGGGAAAAAATGGTCTTTCAATGTCTTGTAATACTGGAAAAAGTGGCAGCTTGAGTTAGCAATCTTCATTTGTTGGATTCTCCTCACACTTTTCAGAGCCCAGAGAATTCTTCTCCCATATCCTACTTTCTTCTTTTTCACACTTCAGTATTGTTGTAGATCTCTGATTATTTTATCATTTGTTTAGTTCCAACAATATCCTCAGCACTGTACAACGTGCAAAAATAAAGATCATCCCTGCTTCAAAGAATTACAGGGAGGGGAAAAATGAGGAAGGAGAAATGGATGTGAAGAAAAAGTGTAGGCATAGAAAAGAGGGAGTAGGGGAGGAAGAGGGCAGAAGTTCTGGTGAGGCAGACCAATAATTACCATTAAATGTCCATTGAAAAGTCCATGAACTGCAGCTGAAGGAATCTAAGGTCCAAGTAACAAATTCAAGAAATCTAGTTTCTATGTCAGGTCATGAAGAAATGTGGCCTTTACAGCTGAGAGTTTATTGGGGTAGGGGTAGGCTGTATGGTGGAGGACACTTGCCAGAATCTGACATCTTGTGCCATCATCTAGACTGAATTTTGAAGGACAGATCAAATTGCCTCAGATCTGTCAACAGCCTGCAAGATTAGCTGGCAGACTTAACAATTCCAAAACTGTATTTGGGTGGGAGGATCCTGTCACAATGTCAAGACACTGCATCAGAATGTGATGACCTGTCATGACAACAAGAAAGCTATCACAACGCAAACATCACATCACTTCCTCAGGATCTGTGAGAAGGTGTTTGTGAGCAGCAGCAAATCTTAAAATGAAAGGAGAGGCTGGTTGCACTAACTATTATTAAAGGTGCTTGACACTTTCCACTATAAAATCGTGATTTTTCAGTTGCTAATAATTTTGTCAAACTTTAACCATTTTGGCTGAAATGCAGGTATCCACCTCAGGCTGAATTTTTGGGGGGATAATTTCAGCCAAATGGTTCAATCATTTCTGATTGAGGCTAGGAAAAACATGTTTCCCTCATGTAAAAAAAAGTGGCAACCTTTTCTTTGCTCTAGCACTCCTATACTTTGAATCAGGGATTTGAAATTGAGAAGGAATGCGTATTTTGTGATCTGCATAAAAATCCACCCAAATGTGGCCAAGTTATAAGCATCTGAAAAATCGTAGTTTGCACATGGTCCGTAGAGACTTGCTAGAGCTTAATAGCTAAAATCCCAAAAGAATCCTCACTGAACCCCTCAAAAGAATCCATTCTCCTTTCACATCTGCGTGTGCCATCCCCACAGAGTGACTGAGCATGCTCCAGCACAGGGCAATGGCGATTAAAAGGATTCTTCCTGTATTGGCTGCTTTGGGCCTAGGATGAGCATCAGAATTGAAGCCTGTCTCTCCTGCATTGTCAGTGATCCCCCTGCTGGCATCCTGGCAGCATGGAGGAGGAAACCATACATCTCAAATGCACATGGGACAAAAGCCAGTTGAGGGTGAGGAAAAGGAGTAGATTGGGACAAGAAATCTGGTGAGACTGGGACTGGAAGAGGAGGAAAGTGAAACTGGGAGCTGGAGAGGAGGAGGACTAGGACTAGCTGGGCAAGGGGACTGGGAGCTGCAGAGGGAAGACTGGGTTTGGGAGCTGGTGAGTGAAATGGAGGCAGGGGCTAGAGACGTTGGCTGTGGGGTAACATGAGATTGGATGAGGAGCTGGGGGACTGGAGAGAGACTGGGACTAGAAAACTGTGGGGAAAAAGAAAGATCTGAAAAGGATCTGGCATGGGGGATAACTGGGACTGGCTGGGCAAAGACTGGGGCAAGATGCTGGGGAAGAGAGAAAGGTGTGTATGTGGGGGGCGGGGGGAGACTGAGATGGGATATTTAGTCTGGGGAGGAAGAGTGGGAGGCAGTGGGAGAGGAAACTGAATTGGTCAGGTTGGGCAAGGGTACAGGGTGCGGTAGGGGAAGAGGCTGGGAGTAAAGAAAGGCATGGAGATTAGGACTTGGAGAGCAAGATCGGGGTGGGGTGACTAGGACTGACTAGGCAAGCTGGCTGGAACGGTGACAAGGAGCCAAGAGTGGGGAAGAGACCAGATAGGGGCAGAGTGGGGAGGATGGGGCAGAATGGGTCAAGCATGGGAGGAAGTAAGTCTATTAGAACACTCTCTCTTGTAGAGTATGAAACGGAACCCAAGATTCCTGAGTCTATATTTTAGTCGTGTTAGTAAATATATGGGAATTCCACTGGCAAAGTGCATCTCTCATCCCCCTCTCTAGTACTGGTCCATACAGGAAATCACAATCTACTATTGCTAGGAGTTACTCCATTAGTTTAAATGGCTGAGTTCCTTGCAGATTAGTTCTAACATCCTATCTCATAGAGTTGGAAGGGACCCCAAAAGGTCACTGAGTCCAGCCCCCTGCCTTCACTAGCAGGACCAAGTACTGATTTTTTGCCCCAGATTCCTAAGAGGTCCCCTCAAGGATTGAGCTCACAACCCTGGGTTTAGCAGGCCAATGCTCAAACCACTGAGCTCTCTCTTCCACTGTAGAACAGGTTAAGGTTCTAGACATGCTGATGACCATGTGGATGAAAATATGACCGCACCTAATTAAATTTCTGTATCTTAAATTTGATTTATTTAAAACCTAGAACATTATATAAAAGATCCCCTACAGTAAAAGAACATTATTAAGGTTGCAAAGTTAAACCCTCAAATATGAGATGCCTGTGCAACATTAATTTGTCCCCTTTAATTCACTCATTGGGAACTGTGGATGAATAGATGAAATACTATATAATGCTATAAGTACACTGAAAACTCAGGTCCTATCTCTCTCAAATTGGGTGTCCAACATTAGTGGCTACTTTTGACTTTAATCTCTCTGTGCATCAGTTGCCCATTT